TAATCATGCCCAACTATTTCGAAGATTACTTAATTCGTATTTCATTAAAGCTTTGTGAATATATCACCAAGTTGTTCGCCTGTCTTCACATAAGTAGTAGATATAAATGTTTCGTGAATCTTCTCTCAGATGAAGTAACAATCAATCTAGATATGTTTGATTCTCTCATGATATACATGGTTGAGGCAATATGAAGGCATCCTGATTATTGCATCAGAGTTTGCAGGAGATGTGGTTTTCAAGTTCACTTCATCTAGCAGAGGATGTATCCATAGGATTTCACATGTGGACTGTGCCATAACTCTATATTCGGACTCTGTGCTTAAACGAGATATAACTATGTTAAATTTAATGATTTTTTATCTGTTTAGTTTCAAATTTGAATTCAAATCAACCGTGAAGTTATTTCACAGTAGGATACATAAACACCATGCAACGTGTATGCATGGATTTCGGGCTTTTTAATTTTATAGTTTGGTTTGATGTAATCTATTTCTATTATTGCATTCTTATATATACAAGCAAGAAATGAAATGAGAAGTAGTTTTTTCTTCTATAAAAACACAGTCTTTTTGTAAATTGCAAAACAGAGGCTGTTGCATAACCTTGCTATGTTTCACTATCCCTCTCTCTCATCAACTTTCTCTCTCTAAGTTCGCTCATTCACAGAGCTTCCTTTGAAGCTTATTTACTTACGATCAACAAGTTGTATCAGAGCCCTTATCTTAAGGGACCAGTAAATCAACATACCATCGAAAACCCAATGACATCCACTGAAACCTCACCTCCCCCACACTTCAACGGAGAAAATTTCCATGTATGGGCAATCAAAATGAGAGCCCATCTGAAAGCCTTAAGTTGGTGGGATGTTATTATGGATGACAACGATCCTCCTCCACTAGGGGACACTGCCACTTTAAACCAAAGCAGAAGGCACAAGGAAGATAAGGCCAAGAAACCAAAGGCTATTGCTTGCCTTTTCTCCGCTGTCTCGGATAGGGTATTTTCAAGGATTATGAACTTCGAATCACCAAAGGTTGTTTGGGAGAAACTGAAGGAAGAGTTTGATGGGGGAGTCAGAAGTAGGAAGATGAAAATCTTGAGACTGAAGAGTGAGTTTGCATTACTCAGAATGCAGAAAAATGAATCAGTGAAGGACTATACCTCCAAACTCTCGGATGTGATAAACAAAATGAGGCTACTTGGGGAGGATTTTCCAGAATCAAGGGTGGTAGAGCAGATTCTTATTGGCTTACCCTCCTAAATTCGAGTCTAAAATCTCAGCCTTGGAGGAGCTTGCCGACATTGAATCTATCTCCTTGGCTGAGCTGATAAACAAGCTTCAATCCAGTGAACAGCAGGTAAATATGTATGTTCGACAACATATCGAAGGAGCCTTAATTTCAACTCAGATCAAAGGTAGCTCTTCAACACAGAATCAAGAGAGAAGGAGTGAAAGGAATCAAACTGAAAATCAAAATTCCAGTAAACAAAAGAAATATCCTCAGTGCAGCATTTGTTCCTTGAGAAATCACCCTAAAAATGAGTGCTTGTACAAGGAAAAGAAAGTCGTTTGGTGCAACTTCTGCAAAAGGCTTGGTCATTAGGAAAAATTTTGCAGGCAGAAACAAAAGCAGGAAGGATCGTAGCCAAAGCAGGAACTACAACATATCAACGTCACCGAGGTGTCCAGTGAGCAACGTGCTACAATTCTCGTTGCATCAAGTGAGCTGTCAGAGGAGGATGATACTCTCTAGATGATGGACAGTGGATGCACCTCCTACATGTGCAAGGATGAAGCCTTGTTCGTGTCACTTGACAAAACAGTCTCAAGCCAGGTACAGCTTGGAAATGGTATGCTGGTAATCATCAAGGGCGAAGGTAAAATAGCAATTGAAACCAGGGAAGGTAGGAAGCTTATCACTGATGTGAATTATCTTTTTACCCTCTCATAGAATCTTTTGAGTGTGAATCAGATGACTGATTGAAGCTACTCGGTTGCATTTATTAAGGATAATTGCTGCAGGATATATGATCGTAAATATAGATTGAAAGTTTTC